GGTGGTAGTAGTAGTAGCAGCAGCAGCAGTAGCAGTAGCATTAGCAGTAGCATTAGTAGTAGTAGTAGTAGTTGTTGTTGTTGTTGTTGTTGCTGTTGCGTTTTGTAGTTGCATGTGTACTTGTAATTGTAGTTACACTTGCAGTGGCACTTGCAGTTGTAGTGTCAGTGTTAGTGCTAGTGTTAGTGTGAAGGTTAGTGCTGGTGTTATTGTTCACTTTTTCGCCGTCTGAACTTCCAAAAGTCGTCCGAGACAGAACGCTTGACTTTTGACTTCAAAATGTGCTTCTTGCCACAACGGCGTGCATTTTTTCAACATCTCAACGTCCAAAACTGGTCCAACACTGTACATGTTCACTTGGAAATGTGCTTCGCGCCACAACGATGTGCACTTTTTCGACATGTCAACTTCCAAAAGGGCGCCGACACTGAGGTGCATTTTTACATTTTGACTTTCAAATGCGCTTCAGGCCACAACGGCGAGCACTTTTTAGACATCTCAACTTCTCAAAGTGCTCCGAACCCGTTGTGCTTTTCATTTTTTAACTTCGAAATCTGCTTTGGGCCACAACGGCGTGCCATTTTTCATCTCTCATGTGGCCAGATGGCTCAGCACCCGCCGCTTTAGCGAGCCTACTTTTCAACATTGGAACAAGATGCAGCCCACGAACCCGAATGCAGCCACGTAAAACATTCTTGTGAAACAAGTTACCTGAAGAGTCCAGCCTTGAAGATGTTTCCCATGTTATCGTTCCCATGCACTGTAGATTGTAGACACTGCAGGGTGTGGAATGTGGAAGGGGGTGGAGTGCAAAGCGTGGCGTGTGAAGAAAGTGGAGTGCTGAGTGGGGAATGTAGTGTGTATGTGAAGTGGGGACCGTGGGGTGAAATGAGTAAAGTGTCAAGTGCGGGGTGGAAAGTTTGAAGTGTAGAGTGTGGAGTGCAAAGTGTAGAGTGTAAAGTGTTGAGTGTGGAGTGTCATATGTAAACTGTAGGGTGTGGAGTGTAAAGGGTAAAGTGTGGAGTGTAAAGTGTGGAGTGTAGGGTGGGGAGAGGGGAGTGTAGAGTGTAGAGTGGGGAGTGTAAAGTGCAGAGTGTAAAGTGTGAAATGCGGCGTAAAGTGTAGAGTGCGGAGTGTCAAGTGTAAAGTCTACAGTGTAATGCGTGGAGTGTAAAGTGTAAAGTGTGTTGGGGAGGGGGGAGGGGGGAGTGTAAAGTGTAGAGTGTAGAGTGGGGGTATAAAGTGTAAAGTGTGGCGTGTAGGGGGTAAAGGGTAGAGTGTAAAGGGTCGAGTGTGGTTTGGGGGGAGTAAAGTGTAGAGTGTGGAGATTAAAGTGTAGGGTGTAAAGTGCGGAGTGTAAAGTGTAAAGTGTAGAGTGGAGGTTGCGGAGTGTAAAATGTAGAGTGTGGAGACTAAAGTGTAGAGTGTAAAGTGTGGAGGGCGGAGTGTAAAGAGTGTCCGAAATTTTGCGCCAAACGCTGCCCTTGCCACGCAAAATGTCAATGACATCCGCACGATGTCTTTCCCCTGCCACGCGATTTGCACGTTGTCACCACTCCATGCAGCCCTGACAATGCGATTCGCAAAAAACCCGCAAGAGCACACGTCTAATTCAATGCGCCGCACCTGCCGCGCGAAATCACGATGGAAGTATCCAAAGCGCTGCGCCTGCCACGAAACATGAAATCTTCTTAAAACCTTGCAATAGTATTGCGTCTGTCACACAAAGCGATTTTCAGCATTTTTCAACCACGTAAAAATGTCACGACATGCCACACCTGCCACACAAAAGAATATTGAAACCTATTTGGAAACCTTGGAAAAAGACATGTTTTGCAGCTTCCCCCATAGACACGGCGAGGCCAACCTTGATAGATGAACCGTTTCGCAAAACAGGCATCAACCAAAGGTGCACTTTTTTTTCTTGGGAAGCGTGCCATGTTTATCAGCTTTCGCACCACGGAAACCTTGTCAATATTATCTCCTCTTGAAATCCTTTTTTTGTTGAGCTTTCACATCAAGGACAAATATTGAAATTGATCCAAAAAGCACGCAGCCAAATCCTGGATACCAACATCTCACCCGGTCCATCTTCAGATCCAGGAAATAAAACCAGTGTCCCCAACCTTGAGATACCAACCTCTCTGCAAAATCAGCATCAAAAAAGCTTGCACTATTTGTAAAAAATCAAACCCAGGACAAAGTCTCCTGCACATCAAGGACACACTGAAATTGATTCCAAAAAAGGTTACCAAATCCTGGAAACTAACATCTCACCTTGTCCAATCCAATCTTTGCTCTTGAAGCTTGGAGGGAAAACTTGAAAATAACATCTGTATCTGCTAACCTTGATAGATGAATCTCTCAATGGCATTAAGGTGCGCAAAAAATTGTTTTCCTGGGAAGTTAGTTGTGACATGTTTTATCAACTTTATCTCTGTTGAGAACCTTTCAAAGCGGCCAGCTTATCTGGGGCATGCAGAAAAAAACAAGGGCTAAAATCCAGGAGGTCCATGGTTTCAAAAGATTCACAGATCAAGCGTATACGTATTCCAGATCCACAACGTGCTCAAAATATTTCGAGGGGCCCGACCTTTGGACATTTTGGAGGGCCCAACATGCTCCATACTCATGGCCCCCCTGCCCAAGTTAAGTGTTAGCTGTTAGAAAAAATTGCCGCTTTACGAATGCTAGACTTGGGCCCCTTAGACTTTATCCATTCAGAAGGGCTCAGAAGGGGTATGCTGGGAAAGGCCCCCCTGGAAAACAGCCCGTTGGTCTGCTATTTCAGGGTTGGACCCCCTCCTGCCACCCAATGGGTATTCTGATCTTCGTTCTTCTTCTTTTCTCTCCTCTGACTCTTCCCACCTGCTCCATATAACTTCCATATAACTGTCCATATAACTTCCTTCGATGATGCCCTCGCATCTTCCTGAGTGCACTACTCTTGCCGTGCGTCTTTGCTAACTGCGACCTCCTGTCGTAACGCAGTGTTTTCGAGCGCATCAAGTACCCCAACAATATCCGCAAAAGAGCGAGTCTGGAATTCAAATTCAAGAAAGATTGAATTCGAATTTGATCTTTTCCACGGGCTAACCCTGAATGGTCCAGCTTGAGTTTTTTGTTTTTAAAATTTCGTTTTCCAGCCTCATCCCCAAACACCCGGGGCGAGCAGCACCAGAAAGCCAGTTTGCCTTTGATATCAGTTGACAGGATAGCAGGAGGGAGATGTGCATAAACGTCGCCAAGTTTTCTTGCCAGTATCTTGTGGCCGGGTCGCGCTTTTAACCTTGAACTTCGGCTTTTCAAGGGTCACCTCATGAAAGCTTGGAATACCCCCAGTGTTCCAAAAAACGGCGCTTTTTCAGGGACAGCGGCCCGATCATGTTTTCAGGGTTTCAAAGCTCCACAAGCATCACCCGCCTTGTGCTGGGAGCGCCCCCAAGGTCCAGAAAGCATTGCGCCATCCTCGCTCTGCCTTTCCTTTTCCCGACAGTCAGGGATGGAAAGCACATAGCAGTTGAAGTGCCTTTGCCAAAAGATTTGACGGAGCAGGGCAAAGGAGGGCAAACGCCATGCATACATTCATATACATATGTGATATATGTATTGATAGGTCAAAGATGGTCAATGCATCACAAGGCTTCCTTACGATCATTTCTGATCTAAAAGCATTGACGGTGGCAAAGTTGTGCATCATACATGTTTAGTGTATATTTACACGTATGCCCCTTGGTTCTTGCTTCCGGCAACATCATCCAACCTCTCTATATAATGAATTGTTTTCCTGCCCGACGGGGCGAAATGCAGCCCCAGGCTGTGGCAGAGCTTCTGTGTCATTCCTCGTGGCCTGTAAGATGGGCAGCAGCAGCCACCCTTATTCAGCTTGACCCAGGCAAACTGCCGAGCTTTGGATCGTGCCAAAGCAGCCAAAACATGAGAAGCCACCAGCCGCTTTCACCGGTTCCACCTTTCCGCGTTGCCATCCAAAACGCCGTGAAACTGCAAGCGCAGGGCGACCAACGCTTTGTCCGAGATGTTGCGAAGCACCTTAGCAGTATGGATCTGACAGGTCAGAAGTGCCAGACGCTTTGCAGTCAAGCGCTGCTTGTGGCCAGCAAGCTCCAGGAAAAGAAGAGGGGCAGAGACTCCGAACAGAGCAGAAATGCCAGGAGCTCAAGCCAAGCGCGCCATAAGCGTGACAAGTTTCAAAAGCTGGCGCCGTCTTCGCTCGTACTGGACTTGACCTCATAAGCATGTAAGTACAGCGGTTGGCGCAGAAGTTGTCGGACACGGGTCGGCTATGCTACTAGTCATCACGCTTTGCCCCCCTTGAGAAACCCAGAAGAGGCCTCCAAGACATGATCATGTGAGACGCGGCATCGAGAACCCTTGGAAATTGTCGACAAGTCCTTCCGCACTGGGGCCGCATCCCACCAGAGTTTTCGCACAGGCACCTCGAGCATAGGGTGCGTTTAAGATCTTTAAGATCTTGATACGCGGACCTCTTGGGAATGTTACAAAGACTGCCACATTTTTTCTCAAAAGGATTTTTACACTCTTGAACGAAGAATTTTGAAACCCAAAGCACATAAAAAATAGGCGCTTTTTAATTTGACATCTCATTAGAAGGCGGTGGCTAATGTATATGAAGCATACAGGAGCATTTGGTTTGCGTTAACAGGGCACTAGAGGCATCGACATAGCTATTAAAATTAAAATAGTATCAGGCCCGGTGCTTT